GTCCCTTCGAAACAGCACACCTGAATCCCTTGGATAAATGCCTATAGTGCAATTGCTGGGTCGTAGGACAGTCCTATTTTTAATTTTTTGAGGAAACTCCATACTGTTTTCCAGAGTGGCTGCACCAGCTTGGATTCCCACTGACTGGAAAGTTTTATAGCAAGGTTTGAATGATGTGCTCTATGGAAAATACATACAAGCACACTTTTTATTTATTTGCTTGTCAGTGATAAACCTGGGGTCTGGTACACCTAAATGAGGGAGTATTAGAGTGCAAAACATACCCTTATGTGTATACACACACTAATAAATATAGATTACCATTTCAAAGATAATTTCTCTGTAATAGTCACTGTTAATGCAATTTTAGGATAAGGCATGACACAGGATGTGAAGCATTTTTAAAAATGTTTATTTATTTTTGAGAGAGAGATAGAAAAAGAGCATGCACAAGCAGGGGATGGGCAGAGAGAGAGGGAGACACAGAATCCCAAGCAGGCTCCATGCTGTCAGCACACAGCCTGACGTAGGGCTGGAACTCACGAACCATGGGATCATGACCTGAGCCGAAATCAAGAGTCAGCTCAACCAACTGAGCCACCAGGTGCTCCTGAATTACTTTGAAATGATGACACCTCATACAAAGTTTAAGCTATGTTTTGGATTTAAACTTTACAAGTACTTGCAGAATTGTACTTAATATTAGAGTTTTAAAGAGCACTATCTATACTGAATAGTGTTTTAAGTAGAAACAGCTGCAGGTAAATAAACACACAACCAAATAATTTTTTCACATAAATAGTATCAAAGTTTAAGGCACAACATTATTTGCTAAAAGATTTTTTTAACTTTGAGAGAGAGAGGGAGGGAGAGAATCTTACACAGGCTCCATGCTCAGTACAGAACTTGATGTGAGGCTCGATCCCACAACCTGGGATCATGACTTGAGCCTAAATCAAGAGTTGGATGCTCAACTGATTGAGTCACCCAGGTGCCCCCATAGTTTGTTATAAGGTTCAACATGGATCTTAACTGCTATAAAATGCTGTAAAGGATTTTCGAATTATCTAGTTACCTTAGCAGGCATATGGTAGGAAGGGGAGGTATGAGGATAGCATAAAGACTTATATATCTATATAGTCTTACATTTGGGTTTTCACATTTTCTCCTTACCTTTGGGAGTTTTTGCAGTAAACTCAGGATCAAAATAGAACGTATCTTCAGGTCTGCCAGTTGCAGGTTTAAAAGGTGGATGGATTTCTCTTCTGTACAGTTTCTAGAGGAAAAAGGAGAGACTTAGATATGCGTTAATTATAAAAAAATTCAAGCACATTTTCATTCTATACTTACATTCCAGTCTATTGTTGAGAAAAATGAGTGTCTTTTAATTTCCTCAACTCCATCTGGTCCTGCACCTATCAAAAATTAAATGGTTTAGAATTTTTGATTAAATATTTTTATTTCAAGGAGGACTATATAGTTTATTTAGACTTTGCTTTTAATATTTGCCCTAATATGTCATAATTACACATTAAAAACAAATATCCACCTCCCCCTGCCAAAAAATCCCAAATACCAACAAACACAAAAAAGAAACTAATTACAATTTTTACCTAATCTGTTTGCAGGATTTCGTTTGAAAAGCATTCGCAAAAGACTCTGGGCTTCAGGACTCAAAAACTGTGGCATCCCAAGTTTGGCTCTAAATAATAAATCCACATAACAACATTTTATTTTCTGGAAGTATCTGTATTTCATTTTTAAAACTTTTAAACTAGTCTTTTCATTTTAAGATAATTGTGGGTTTATACTAAGTTGTAAGAAATAATACAGATAGATCCTGTGTACCCTTTCCCCAATGGTAATGTCTTACAAAACTAGAGTATACTATCACAACCAGAATACTGACACTAATGCAATCAACTTATCTCATTTAGATGTCTCCAGCTTTAACCGCTGGAGTTTGTTTGTGTGTGTACATGGAAGTTCAGTTCTTTGCCATTATATTATAGGTATAGGTCCCTGTATCCACCACCACAGTAAAGATAATGAACAGTTCATCACTACCAGGATACCTCACACTGTCCCTTTATAACCATACTGGCCTCCCTCCCTCTCCAATTCCTAACCTCTGGCAATCATGAATCTATTCTAAATTTCTATAATTTTGTCATTTTAAGAATGTTATGTAAGTGGAATCATAAAGCGTGTAATTTTTTCACTCAGCATAAATTTCCTGAGATTCATCCAAGTTGTTGCATGTATGAATAAATCATTCCTTTTAGTTGTTGAGTAGTATTCCATGGCATGGATGGACCACAGTTCGTTTATCCGTTTACCTGTTGAAGGGCACTTGGACTGTATCTAGTTTTGGATTACTACAAATAAAGATGCTATGAACTTTTGTATATAGACTTTTGTGTGAACACTTAATAGAATTTTAGTCCATAATCTTCTAATAAACTTTTCCATTTTTTCTGATTTTTGCAAAAAGCACTACTGTGAGAGTAAAATGATCTGAGTCTTAGTTCCTGCCCTGTTACTAAGAACTTTGTGACCTTGTGAAAAGACAATCCCTTTGGGTCTGTTACCACTCCCTCATAAGCAAAGGGTTGACCGTTACATCAATGGCTCTCTACTGTAGCCTTGGAATCTTTTTTCAAAAGGAATTTAAGAAATCCACTATTTTTAAAATTTTTTATTTTTAATGTTCATTTATTTTTGAGAGAGAGAGAGAGACAGAG